GTGTGTGTGTGTGTGTGTGTGTGTGTGTGTGTGTGTGTGTGTGTGTGTGTGAGTGTCTGTGTGTGTGTGTGTGTGTGTTAGTGTGTATATGTGTGCGCGTGTGTTGGGGGCAGGGGGGAGGGAGTAGATGTAAGAGGCCAAACGCTTTGAAACGGCTTTGACCGTATCCATAAAGAACATTAATTAGGTACTCGCGGATCCGAGCAGCAAGCATACTCAGTAACTGAGAGTTTTAAATAGACTCTTTTCTATTTATCTAACGTCACTATATTGTATCAATGTGTTTTCCAGCCCTTTTTTCCTGGGTATTGTTTATAAAGGCGTCCCTTCATTTTTCGACCAAGCTTATGAGCTGTCTCTGAAACTCCTGTCGGACAAATTTTCAGCTTGTATGTCCAACTTTCTATAGGAACAGATTTGTACAGCAGCATCTGTGGTATAGCTATACGGTGCTTCTCTGTTGCACCCCGAAGACATGAGGTTGATTTCTTTTTGGATATCCCCTTCTAACTGTTGGGGCTTTGCATCCCTCTCCGCCCAAGAAGGCCTTGACCAGCAGCGTCGAAGTAGCCCGCCTCGTAATGATCTAAATTGTGTTGACTGGGGTCTGCAAACATTAACTGCAATATTTCCCTTCACACTCTTGTTTGTCTGTATTTTTTTTTGCCCACTTGTTTTTATCTGTGAGACTGTCAGACGTCATCACCATCTAGGATTGTCAGCAGTGTCGTGACATCCATTAAATAATCCTTCAATGTAATTACTCTCTATCCCATTCATTCCCTCCCTCACCCATCCCCAAATTTGTCCATCCATTATCGTATTCTCATTTTTTCTTCTTTTTTGTTTTAGTAAGTGTTTTAGGGCACTTACAAAACAATGAGTTCATAAAAGTGCCAAAGATTAGAGGTGTTTCAAGGCAGTAACGAACACAAAAGAGGGGAGATTGATGTTTGATAGGAAAGAAGAAGCAAACCACACCTGAGTAGCCTCCAACCATCTGCTTTCTTCTGTATAGTTTTCATGCTCATGATAAACGTTGCAAACTTTCGAAAATTCTGAATTGTTCTGAACCCATCTTTATTTTGAAAAATGATATATTATTATGTTTATCTTTAAAGATACTTAACTGCCTTCCACCCTTTCCTGCAACTACAAAACAGTTCACTAGCGAATGCTTTATCACCACACTGTTATATTCATCTGCATTCAATATCTGTCCCTCAGGGAATTGCTTCTCAAATCCGAAACTGATGAATTCTATGTGCCGCAGAACATGCGGTTGGTGCCCTAAGAACTCTTACAAAGACTCAAAGGAAGGTTGCTTCAACACAGAAGACTCGACAAATCCACCTACTGTTCTGACATCAAAGCAGATGGCGGGAAGAAATGATGATGATGATGATCCTTGGGAATTTTCAAGAAACCGCGCGTCGTCTGTGATCGTGACGTCAGGGCCTCTAGCAGTGTTGTGCTTGTTGGTGACTTTCTTGTTAGTGTTATTATAGAGTCTGACAGACTATGGAATCTGTATTTTTTGTGTCTTTCACTAAGCCAAGGGCAGGAAACTGTATTCTTTCCTCCAAAGCTGTTGAATTGTGTTATATTTGCATTGTGTCGGATATAAACTACTTCTATTTTTCTTTTCTAGAACAATATATATTTTAAGACATGAAAAAATGAAAGGATGGTGGAATTGGATTGAGGATACGGTTGGGGGTACGGAGTCGGGAAAGGGGGAAGGGACAGCAATTTTATATTATTTTCTACAAAAGGGGCATTCATGTTCATGTTACTTACTATAAAGAGACAGAGACAAAGAAAGAGACAGAGACAGAGAGACAGAGAAAAAAACCGGAGATTGGCAAAAGAGGTGGATATAATTGTTTTTGTGGGGTTGTACCCTATTTTACTATTTTTTAAATTATTCTATTTTTTTGCTGTTCGCTGAAACCTTCATTGTGCTTCCCGTTCAAGTCTTTTGAAGCAGCTTGATTTTGATACCGATGCAGTTTTTTGCTGTTTCTATATTTGTGATTTTATATGAGCTGGCGGAACCCTTTGTTGTTGTTGTTGTTGTTGTTGTTGTTGTTGTTGTTGTTGTTGTTGTTGTTGCTGTTGTTGTTTTGGATAATAATGGTGTTATTAATCCAGTAACCTTTGAGAGAACGACATTTGGCTCAATGCCATGTTTAAAGAGGTGGAGGTCTTCAAAAGTTGCTTTGTACTGCAGCATAGGGCATTGTCTATTGTAGGATCGTGAGGTGTGATTTGGCGTCTATATTTCAGTAGTTGGAAGAGCAGATGGTGGACTGTTACGTTGACTTTGCCACAAAACATATGCACATTGCTGGGTTTCTAGTTTGATTCTGTTTTCTTGTTAGCTCCAATTTTTTAATGTCGGTGTTTTTACGCCCCCACCTACACATTTTAGATCATTTGAGAGGCGTGCTTCCGACCCTGCCTGTCAGGACTAAACAGGGCTGAGAAGGATACATCCCAGCAAAAAGACCGAGATACTCGTTAAAAAAAGTATCCCCACTGAGGAATCGAACGCGGGTCAAGTGCCTAACAGCTACACCACAGACACCTGTTTTGTTCCGATATAAAATTTGTTATTATACTTGGTTTGGTATATTTGTGGTTTTTAAATGCTCAAATGTTGTTTATTGGTATTGGAGTTGTAATTTGTATATATACTGGAGATTCCTCTGCTTCCCATTTTAGCTGACATCTCTTGGACCATTCTGGAATGTTTAGTTCCACCACAGATATGTTAATTCCAAAACCCAACTTAAGGGTCATATAATGCTTGTCTTCTCTGTTTTCAGATCGTCGATGAAAAGTGCATTCTTTGTATACGATATATCTCACTTGAAAATGTAGTCAAGTCAGCTTTCTGTGGTATATTCTGGCGTATACATTAGGATCATGCGTCTCATCTTCATTCCTTTATTCGATCTCATAGTTTATTTTTTATGATAGACCCACATCGATCTATTGATACATACATTTGTTTTATTTCATAGTCGTTAATTTAATTTATTTTTCACTGGCTTTTCCATTGTGGGAGTTGCATCTAGATTTCTTCAACGTTATATGCATATCGCTAGTATTAATTAATTTCAAAGCCAGCACTATTTGTTTGTCCGGCTATTTGCCATCCGCAAAGGTTTGCAATTCCTTGATATATGACAATATACGGATGCTCTCTTTCTTCTACCAGGCACAATTTCCTTGTTTAAATGCTGCTTACAGAATTATTCTAAAACAAATATTATTGTGAAACATGCATTTTAGTAGGACGTGCACCCCCTCCCCAACCCAAACACACTCTTAAAAGCACATGTACAGAGTAAGTGGTGGAGACAGAGATAGAGAGACCGATA